ACATTCAAACAAATTGACCAAATTTTACAGATCTTTACCGCACATTCGTCTATTTTAATGGCGCAATCCAAATATTTTGCCGTCGCAATTTCTGATACTTGGGTGAAATTGGAACCAAATATTTCGCCGCATGTTTTTGAAATCTTATTAAGGTAAATATTATTTACTTAGATTGATACATGTATACAGTAAATAAAATTTATTTCATGGTAGGCTAGATATATGTATTGTGGCAAAATCAACTTGAAAAAACATGGAATGCCGACTCTTTAGACTTATTGATTGCTGCGGATGAGTTGGTACTTGATATATCGCTTGAATACATTCAAGACTTTCTTTGGAACATCATATCGAGTCGATGACTAAAAATTTTTCCTTGATCAATCAAGTCGTATTCGAGCACAACTCTTTACGAAGCTTCACATATTTTGCACAGATATTGCATGTCAAAATCCTGCCGCTATTTTTCAATCGAATGATTTTATAAAACTTCAAGAAAACGCGTTATTTTCTTTACTCAAACGGATGATTTAAATCTTCAAGAAATTGACATTCTGAGAATGTTAATTTTATGAAACCCGTTGAGAAATGCGAATTTACGTAATTAAAATTTACGTTTAAACAATGTTTACTATAGATCCGTTTCTTCCACATAAATTCTGTTGACTTTTACTATAAAGTAATGCCCTATTCGGAACTCTTATCTGCATAGCTATACAAGGATTTATTGCATCATTATTTGGTTCCAGGAAGCGAAGTTCTACAAGCTAACAAACACCCAATCCGAAATCCAAATAATGTAAATAATGTTAAATCCATAATACTTACTCCAAATCAATAAAATAAGTGAATGGATAAAGCCACAAGATACAAATTTAACTCAATCGTTTGATTTAAATTTAATATACGAGGCAAACGAGACGGATTAACTGCAGCAGATTTTCATCGACTTTGTGATAATAAAGGTCCAACAGTAATTGCGATTAAGGTTAAAAAAGATTCAGGAAAAATTATTGGTGGATATAATCCATTAGAATGGAATTCAAACGATACACTGTATGAGATTGTACAAAAAATAGCTTTTTATTTCAATTTGACTCGAATGAATCCGATGGATTATGAGCAAAATTATAGCGAAAAGTTATAGTATTGCATGTATTGAGAAATATGGAAATGTTTTTGGATCAAATGATTTAAGGCTATTCGATCTGTATAATGGTAACTATTGTCAAAAATCTTTATATGAACATGCTCTGTTGAGCTCTGATAATACAAGAATTACTTTTAGTGTTGAATATTATGAAATATTTCAATTTTTGCAAAAATAGTATTGAAATTACAGTAGACATAAACTGAGAATATGTATAACCTAGAATATTGTATATTAATTTATATTTTTACATTAAAGTAATGAAAACACTAAAAAATGATTAATTTGTAGCAACGAAAATTAAACACAGAAATTTCAATCTTTATCATTAATGAAATTATATCAAAATAATTCTCAAGCACGCAACTCATACTCGAATACATGTATATTGCAATCTTTAATAAATGTCTATTGATTAAAAGGATATAGTATTTTCTAGAGACAAACGTTAAATAGAAAAGCCAAAATTCTTTTGCTGGAAACATATGAGCGTTAGATTGTTCTTAAATACATCAATTTGTGGAATTCCTTTAAATTAAAATAGAAATAGCTTTACATGCTTTATATAAGTTTTCATCGTTATTAGGCATTTAAACAATTTTATTGTTGAATTTTCGATTTATTATTAGCTGAATTGTTTTAATAAAGTACAGTTTTGTGACTCTCTTACAGTCAGCGCGGAAAGTAATGCGGACATGTTTTTCGCCTATAACTTAATAAGAAATTTATGAAAATTTGGTATTGTATTCTTTAGGATGACGAAAACAAAGTTTTCTAAGGTCACAAAGCGTGTTAACATAGTAATATTTTGTGTAATCACGTGCTAAAGGTGGCGGCCGGGGGGCTACCCTGGTTAAAGTGCTATAAAAAATTATTTAAAAAGATTTTTTATAAGCAAGTATGAAAATAATTTTATAGAAATATATTTAAAATATAAAAAATACATTTGTAATTTAAAAAAAATTTTAATTGATATTTATTGAATAAATTCCAGCAAAAAAAGGTTAATTTGATAAATTTCATAATAAAATATAATAAAAATAATATTTTTATTATATTTTACTATATTTTATTATGAAATTTATCAAATTAACCTTGTTTACTGGAATTTATTCAATAAATATCAACTAAAGTTTTTTTTAAATTACAAATGTATTTTTTATATCTTTAAATATATTTCTATAAAATTATTTTCATACTTGCTTATAAAAAATCTTTTTAAATAATTTTTTATAGCACTTTAACCAGGGTAGCCCCCAGCTGCCACCTTTAGCACGTGATTACACAAAGTATTATTATGTTAACATGCTTTGTGACCTTAGAAAATTTTGTTTTTGTCATCCTAAAGAATATAATGCCAAATTTTCATAAATTTCTTATTAAGTTATAGGTGAAAAACATGTCCACCATTACTTTTTATGCTGATTATAAAAAAATCTATTAGTAAAAAACCTATTATATTGAAAATTTATTGGTAAAATCTATAAATTTACATGTATATATACAGTGGTGAACATAATTAATGCAACAAAAAAAAAGATTTTTGTTGAATTGAAATATTTCACGAAAATTAGGAGATGTACTTTTTGTTTTTTAATAATTTTATTTACTAATAGCATCATTTTTATATATTAAATTCTTAACAGTTTTTTATGATTATTTTTATACAAAAATCAGATGGTTATAGTTGTGCTACATAAATAGTATAAAAGGTAATTTTATTGAGTATTGTTTACATATTACATCATATTACAGCTTTTGGTCAAAAACTAAAGTACAAAGATACCATATTACTCTAGAAGAACAGATACAAATTCTTCTTTCTCTCTAAAATGGATATACTATAAGACAAATAGTAAAGTCAAGAAATATCAAACCCTTAACAGTTTCCTATATTAGTAAAAATATTAGAAATAATATTCTCTTGAAGATGCAGTAAGATCTGGTCAACCATCTATTATAAATAAACCAATAAAAAAAATTGTTAAACTTATTATCTTTTGGAGATGTTCATCTGTACCAAAATGCATACAAGAAAAAGAGAATGTTAATATATCAGCACTTATCATTTATTATTTATTATGAGACAATGGTTTGGTATCAGAAATTTAGAAAAAAAATCCTATCTAAGCAAAGAATAACAAATAAGGTAGCATAAAATCATGAAATTGGACTATTAAAGATTGATCAAAGATTATATAATCTAAATTTAAGGTTTTTGATTTCAATGGAAAATAATATTACTGGAAATATCTGGGTGAGCTATTAAATTAATTTCATATTAAACCTATGATGAAGTTCAGGAGTGGGATGTTGGTGACTTTTATAAGATTGATAGAATGATAAATACCAAATTGTACCAACAGATACTTCATGAGATCTTATGAATACTATTAAAGATCATGGATTTACTGTCAGAAATATCATATTTCAACAAGATAGAGATCCTAATCATATGGCAAATTTGATGAAACAGTGACTTAGGAATTATAGAGTTAAAGTATTGGATTAACCGCCACAATCCCCTGAACTGAACCCCATCAAACATTTATGAAATGAGTTTGATCATCATCTTCGATAACTTCAGATTTCAGGTAAGAAAGAATTTGTGAAACAAGATACAACAAGTTTGGCAAGAAATCAATTTTGATACCTGTACCAACCTGATTCACTCTATGCCAGAAAGGGTTCGTGATGTAATAAAGGCACGAGATGGCTACACAAGATGGTAGGGTAGGTCGAACTCTATATAATATATACATTTTAATGAAAAAATTAGTATTTTAGTTTGGTTTTATATGTTGTATTTGAGTTGTGTTCAAAAAGAAAATAAATAATGCAACAGACTTATCGAATAAACGTATAATTTGCGGAGTAATTGACTTTTGGATCTATATTCAATTTTTACTATCTGAAAATGATACTATTAACGAATAAAACATATCAAGAAAAAAAAGGATATTTCCGAATTTGCATAAAATATTTCGATTCAAAAAAAATGTTTTTTTGTTGCATTAATTATGATCGCCACTGTATATCGTATAAAAAGGGTACATTATAAAGAGAGTCACTGTCAATAGGAATAATAAATAAATTTTACTCAGTCTAAAATAAAATCAAAGAATATTTCGTTCAAAATTTGGAAATTTGCATTTTTATCGATATGAAACCTTTTGTACCGTTGAAAAACCATACGTGATGTAAAAATATCGAGGTAAACTTTGGAAATCTTACCTTTCACAATGAAAATAATCTCGGCACATGTTTATTGTCAGTAAGCTTTAAAACAATCACTGTTACGATTTTAAAAATACATGTACTTGCATTTATTTACTGCACTACATTATAGCATTTGTAGGATAAATGTACATTATATCTATATGTATATATATTTTTCTATAGTTTTTTTATAAACAATGCTAAGTGACTAACAATATCAAATGTGAATTAAAAAATCATATAAATCTTTCTTGTTGTTATCAAATGTGAATTAAAAAATCATTATTTTTGAATATAAATCTGTTCTTGTTGTTCAAAAATACAAATATAAGTTATTTATTTAGAATTCGTTTGACTATTTTTAAATTAAACTAAATGTTCTTTCAATAAATTAAAATAGCAAGCCAAACGTTAATGGAACTATATCATTCTGATAATGTAAATAAATATTAATATCGATATCGATATGCAATTTATTAAAATTTATTTTTCTAGATCACTAAAAATTTCAGCGTACAGGATAACTTAATAGGATTATATAGTTAATGTTGGCTATATTTATTAGATACGACTAGGCTTGCACCAAAAACATATAACATAAAATTGCATAATTCCTTTGGTCCTTCTTATTTTAACTACGTCGGTCGCTTTGGTCATGCTTCTTATTTCTTGCTACCACTGGGCTTTGAAATATATTCTTCGATTCTGAGGGATTAGGATCATCCAAGAATGTGGAAATAACTGAAAAATAACACAAATCGACTTCTAACTCTTCGTTATCTTTAACATAGGATCCTTACATTAGACCATCATGAATTGGTTCGCCAGTCTTAAACCCCACTTAGTTCAGGTATAGGTTCTTGAGTATCGATCCGAAAACGAAGTTTAAGTAATTCAAGCACAAGGTCATAGATTCGTGCTTGCATTTCTTGAAGCAGTTTTCGACATTGGTTTAATTGATCAATTATAATGTCACCTAGAAATTTGATCGTAGGATTCCATTCCTTCTTATGAAAGCCGCGTGCACTCGAGGCAGCATAAACTTATTGACATATTTTGATTGGTGTAATACATGTAAAACCATCTGTTTCAACTCGACGTGTTGAAAGTTTTTCTGCAAGAGGCATAGTTCTTGTGTAAGAAATATAATAAATTGTTCAGCAAATTCATCTTTATGCTTATTTTCAAATTCACAGCTTTCAGTAATATTTTAAACAAAATGGAAAACCCTCTTAACTATAAAACGTTGAAGAATATAACACAATTTTCCATTTTCTTCGGAGATTTATGCCCTGCCACAGATTTTATGCAGAATTGGCTTGAAAAGATTGTATCAGTATTTAAATTTACGCCAACAGAAATTGGGAAGCACAATAATGAGAAGATGGAAGAAATTCTCTACCGGATTTAATTTCGTGAGAACTCAACCCTCATGAGGAGGAAAGGATGTTGCTGCCTCAATGAAAAATCCCGTGGTCACAAATATTCTGAGCTAATACCAATTCTCTTGTGTCCTCATAAATCATGCAAAATGAAATCTAAATTAAAGTTAATTAATGTTGGCCTGAAATGCATATACACAGTTTCCAGAAATTCCCACAAGAATTCGTATCTTGTAACGCGTTCCCAAAAATTCCTACCAAAATTTCTATTTTTTTTCCTCAACATTAATGTGATCTCAGAAATTCCTACAAAAGTTCTTACTTTGTAGTATCAACACTAACGCCAACTCTCTAACCTACAGAAGTATTTTATTTGAACACTTACTTAGTGCACTCAAAATAATCGATTTAAAGTCTCGTCCAACAGTATGAGTTCTCTTCTTTATTGACATCCATAATTGCTGACATAAACATACTTTTCTATCATTATAATACTTTTATTTTAATTATTTTTATTTTGTTTATATAAATATTATATCTCAGTTTTCATTATAATATTATATACATTCTTCTTGTGCTTTATACCCTGATGACCCATAAAAATTTGTAAGCAACAGATTGTACCTTAAATAGCCATAATCGAGAATAGTTGTGAAATAACTAAAGCTATATAAATACGATAACCCTCGAAAAGTTACGAAACAGGCAAAATTGGTTTGAAGAAAAATAAATAATAAATTTAATTTTAAAATTTACCTTTTGCTTCGTCTTTTTATTTTTTTTGTGCCAAAATGAAATTGATAGCTTTAATCTATTTGTGCTTAACAAATTGAAGGCTTTTACCGGTCGAACCGAATCATATATAATTCGTTCGAATCAATTCGAATTCGAATCAGCAATTTTTTTAACTGAATATTCAAACCATTGAATTGAACCATTAAATCGAACCATCAAATCAAACTACCGAATCGAACCATTAAATCAAATTATCAAATCGAACCATTGAATCGAACCATTAAATCAAACTTTGAATTAAATTAATATTTTAATTAAAACTTAAAATTCTTGTTTATTATAAAAATATATCATAATTTTTATGATTACTTTTTAAAAAAAGCATTTAATAAAGCAAATTAGAGCTTAAACATATTCTTTTGGCTGATAAGTGCATTCCTGCATCAGAAAACAAGCTTTCACTGGTACTGATGTAGTTGGAACAGATAAATATTATTTTTCAAATAATAAAGCGTTGGCAAAAAAGTTGCTCTATCTTGCCACCATCTGAGAGGATCAAAAATTTTTGATTGGAAGTTGTAAATATGAAATTTATCTCATCTTGAGGGGGTTTCTTCTTTTTCTTGATTAGAATTATCAAATATATCTTCAAAAAAATTTGAACCACCAGATGATGTAGTTTGTTATTGATCTTTATTTGTTGATGTATTATTGATTTGATTATTTTCTACATTCCATAGATTCTGAAATTTTATAATAGCATCAGATATGTCTTTCATTTTCAAAAAACTGAAGCTTTTTAAGTCGTGGATCTAAGATTGTAGAGATTATAATAATATCTTCTGGTATTTCCCAATATTATTTCACTGAAAATAAAGTATCCTCTTGAATATATCTAATAAATTATTGGTTTGAACATGTGATTTAATTAATTGATAGTTTTTGAAAAGTGAATTTGCATTTGTTCTTTCTTGAGCAGATCTTTTAATTCGATTACAATTTCTTCCAAGTGAATTATTATTTTTTGATCTACTTCTTGTTCTATCCTGAATTTTTCTATTACATAAAGCAATTAATAATCATTGAAGATTTTCGGTAAATTGTGATTCAAGTATAATATCTTCATCAGAAGTATTAGAATCAGATTTATTTTGAGTTTGCTAACAAAATATATTATTTGTATAACATATATATAATTAATAAAATATAAAATTGTTATATATAATATATACAGTATCTGGTGGTTCTTCCAAAGGACCAAATAAAGTTCCAGCATAATAATTATCATTATGATTAGGTAATAGAGAAATCTTTATAAGTTTTATTATTGATAGATAAACAAGATTCAAGATAGAATAGTCTGTTGCTAATAAAATTTTGATCACTTCATAATATGGATAAAGTATATCCAAATTTCACCAAGTAAACTAATAATTAATTATTAATAATTTAAATTTTTTAATAAAAAAATAAAATAAATATATATATGCTTTCATTTATAATTTATTAATATAATTTCTCCCAAATATAAACCATCAATTTTTGTGTATCTTGATCAGAAGCAAATTCTAAAGATCGAGCTAATGTTTGAACTGCATGATGCAAAGCATCGAGTCTTTCCCAGGCGAGATATATAGAATTCCATCATGTTTTGAGATCTGTTAAAATTTCATGTTGTTTATTTATACCAATTTGTTTTTAAGTCTTGTGTAATTATGCTGATTGTTTAGGACTTGTACTAAAAAATAGTATCAAGTTATTAACTCATGTTACAAAATTTTAGTGCCTTGGTTAGAGATAAATGTAAGATGTGAGCAGTACAGCTCAGATGTGATATGCCAAATAGTAATGAATAGCTTTCTTCATATTGGCACCATTATCTGTTGTTGCTACAAATACTTTATCAGAGATGTGCCAGCGATTGAGAATGTTAGCCAATATATTTTGAATGTTTTCTGCTGTATGAGAAGAAAGTACTTCAATTGATAAAAGAACATCTTGAAATTTCCATTCACTATTTAGTCATGTAGCTGCAATGCCAATAAAACTTTCATTTGTTTGTGATGACCAAATGTCTGTAGTGATATTAATAACTTCAGCATCCATTAAAATCTCTGTTAGCTGATTACATGACCATTCATATGCTTTGTTAATCAATAATCATGCTTTCTCGTCTCCCAGAATTTCAAAGGTAGGTTCACAAGCCAAAATAAATTTGTGAAATGACTTGCATCGTAAAGAAAAAGTGACTGGTAATCATCAATTATCTATTCGATCAAAAGTTTAGTAAGCAGTTGTTGGCACTGTCATGTTATTTTTTTTCTCTTCAGTTATCCATTTGTCAAGCATGTTGCCATCAGTCTGTTTCAATAAAAAAAATTAAATTAAATTTTGATTATAAAAGAGATATTCCGAAACATAGCGAAAATTGATAGAATATAATGTGTCCAATAAAATAATTTACAGATACTTACTTTCCTGTTGGGTTTTCATTTGTGACATTATGAGCATTGGCTAATTGTTGTGTCATATTACTAGTCGAGTTATTATGTTTGAACTTTTTGTCAAGCCCTCCACATGCACATAGTTTACATTGTGCAAATTCTTTATGTGTTCTGACAAACTCGTAGTAGTTTTTTGCTTCCCACAGCTCGTTAGGTTTTGAATAAAGGTCAATTATATCACTTTTCCTTTTTTTATTCGATAATGAATTGGCAGAGGTGGCAGCAGATGTTTCAGAAATGAATAGCGGACTTGAAGTAGGTCCAGAGTGGTGCTGGAAGTGGCGAAACTGGTAAACTAAAATGTGATGATGTCGACAATACATTGTCATCATTTTCAGAAGTATTTGAAACTGGCGACGAACTTTCTCTGCTTCCCTTTCTCAGCTGAAATTATTCATGCACAGCCCGGCAAAAATGGCTCAATCTATTCCTTTTATATCGAATCGGTTTTATGGTTTCGAATCGATTCAATGGTTCGAATCGATTTAATGGCTCAAATCCTTGAATCGGTTCTATGATTCGAATTAATTCTTCGAATATTCGAACCGAATAATTTGGAGACCCCAGATTCGAACCGGTTCGAATCTGGTTCGACGTAAGCTCTAGGCTTTACTGCTTTGTCCATACAAAGTTGATGCATCGTGCTTGATTCCTTAAAATTTGATATTTTTACTTTGATATTAGATATTAATTCATAGTGAATAACTACTATTATTTTGAAAAGAGAATATAATTTATCATTTGTGTATAACTGTGTTTGTAGATTTCGCTTCTTTAAAAATAAATTACTATTTTAAAGTGTTACTTTTGTCTCAAGTCGCTCAATCTTCGTGAAAGATTGGCACAAGAGACCTTTAGAACCAGTGAAACTCACTTTGAGTAAATCATTCAGTCGTCGCTCCCGCCCCTTGTACATACTCAAATTCGCTAGTCAACCTAATTTTTGAATTGAATGTGACAATACAACTTTTCTGAATTATTTGCTAACCATTTATAAATTTCATCAATATTTTTGAGACTTATATTATAATATGCTATAGACACAAAGTTTTAAATGTTATTTATAATCATTGCTTTGAAGTCTTCTACTAGTTACGTAACCACTTCTCTAAGTCTGGGATAATAGTTTTTACGATTTGTAATGCATCATTTCTTTTTTGAATATTTTCAATATCAAAATCCCCGATAATAAAAGAAGCCATCTCATACAAACCTACATTAAAATATTTTTTTGCTGTCTCACTCTGTCCCAAATTAGAGTAGAGTTTTGATAGTTGAAATGCTATTGAATACGACAGATAGAAAAAATTATTTTGCTTAAATATTTCATAGATTTGCATTAAAATCGCAATAGATTGAGTTGGTTTTCCAGTTAAATAATAGCACTTGAGCAACGCAAATTTGAGTGGAATAGATGAGAAATCTAGATCTTGATTATTTGTTCTAAGAGATCGTAACTCTTCTATCATTCTCTCTAATTCTGTGATATACGCATATACCGAAAAAATTTTAGAAGCTAATAGAATTTTATCTTTGATATTAGACTCAAAACGTTTTAGAATTATAGCACGTTGTTGCTTCGTTTCGATAGATTCAGCTCGTTCCAACTGGCAAAGCCTACACTGACAGTTTATGCCAAAAGATGCAAGTGAACTAGTGCGATTTTCATCCATAGGATCGACATAAGGTAAGGTCAACTCTTCGCCTTTTTTAATTGAGCTTAAAGTGCGCAAAAACATTAAATCCCCTATGAATATTCTTCCAACGTTTGTATCAATGCATGAATGATTGAAATAGGAAGGCAGCGTCCAGAGGCCAGACCCTGAAGGATATTCTATTAAATTTTTACTGTTTACAGAATTTCGAAAGTTTCGAAAAATATCTTCTGACTTGAAAGCATTATAACGAACTATTTCTTCTATTCTTTTTATATCAACTCCTTTAAGTGAATTTTCATCAAGTTTTTCTCCAGGAATTAAATTAGGACCAGAATATAATTTATAGATTTCTCGCGCAAGTTCCGGTTCTGCTAAGATTCTTTGAGCAATCGATGCAATCAAGCCCGTATTGATGAGCATTCTATTAATGTAGTCTTTGTGTAAAAAATTAGGATTCTCATAATCGTACACGATTTCGAATGCTTTCGAAGCCATTAATAAGGTATGCTTTGGTATATCTCGTTCAGCAACCCATCCTCTTCTACCCTTTGTCCCTACGTATTTGATTTTAATTGCATCAGTAGTATAATCGGCATGTTCTAATCTTGGTCCTTTAACTTCTTTTTTATATTCTCGCAAAGATTCGTTAATTATTTTGTAATAATCATAAATTCCGGACATGTTTTCAAAATAAAGGTTTTGTGAATGATTCAAAAGTTGCATGATGGCAAATTTAGGCTCGTCTGATTTCATACTTTCATGCAAATTATTGAATATTTTTACTGCTTCTTTATATTGTTTAAGTTGATAAAGAGCTTTGCCTTTCCGAACGTTTGCTTTTAAATGGTTAGGATCAATTTTTAGTGCAGTTTCTGCATCTTCAAGTGCTTTTTTATATTGTTTTAAACGTAAATGCGCTTCTGCTCTATTCGCATAAAGTCTGACATCATGCGGGTATAATTCAATGCCACGCGAATATTCGTCAATGGCCGATTCAAAATCTTCATTTTCAAAACATTCATTACCGTGTACGCGAAAATCATCAACAGATGCTTTCTGCTTTTCTGATTTCGTGTCTTCAGAGGTGTCAGTGTCGGTTTCCCACTTTATTTTTGAGAGCAATTTATCATTTGGTCTCACAATCTTTATTTCGCTTGGATTATCGGAGCGAATAAATGGTAATCCATCTAATCCAATTTTATAATATGGATCACGTATAGCGAGTATCATCCCAATAGGAAGTATTTTAGAAGCTTGTTTAATAGATAACCCATTAGCCGGAATTTTATGAAGTGGGACCCAGTTATACAATGATAACTTTTCTGCGTTTCCTTCTGGATCTTCAATAATCGTAGTGAGAGAGTTATAAAAGACACTTCTCGTGATTACTCGACATAAAAGAAATTTGTCGGTGTGTACTCGAAAGCTTTGGAGTTCCGAGATGGAGATTCGATTTTTACTGTTAAATTCAAAATTATAGGTAGGTAATTTAGGTATATTGTCTCTTATAGTGACTCTAAAATAGATTCCATGGATTTTCTCATAAAATTTTAAACTTTTTTCATATTGAGCAATTAATTTTTGTCTCGCGTTTCTTTTTTGCCATCTGAGCAGATGTGTAAGCAAAAAGGAAATCATTGTTGTTTGATAGAAAGATTAAAAGAATAGCGTTAGATCTAATGTGTGAGAAAAAAAATTGAATCGTGAATTTAAATAAAAAAATTCGAAAAAGTAAATCTCGTCATCCTTTCTCATCAAAGAAGATCAACCAAAAAAATATATTGACTAAAAATTAAATGAACCAAAATACATGGTTTTTTATATTGATTAAAATCTTCAAGAATCGACTCTCAAAAATTAATTCGCTTCTTTCACATAAACTTTATTGAGACACTATGTAAATAAAGACTTGGTGCACCATTACATGGTGTCAGGCGCACATACAGTTCATGGAACTATAGAATAGTTCGAAATTTTACTGTTAATGTTTGCGACCATGAAGGATTCACCAGCATTGTTGTTATACATGTTCATAATAAAAATTTCGGTTCTACATTACGAGATATCATTGATGCTTTCTTGCTAAAAAAACGGTTCAAATGAATATGCTCTTCGTTCTGGAATAAATTTAATAATCATTTGGCATTCCAGTCAAATAATTTGTTTATACGGAATACATTCGTATTCATAAATTTTATGATAAAATTTATTTTTATATAATACATACATACTCTGGAATGTATCTTTAATTGGAAACATTTTCTTACTACAGTCTGAATCCTCTATAGTCACACCACCATCAGGATACGAAAAACTGACTTCATAGAGCTTGTGATTATATGGAGGTCAAATTTCTTATGTTTTGGGAAATGTGTGACTACATGTCAATTTACGTGTGTAACCATTTTTTAAAAATACGATCAAGTTTCTCCCTTTTTTTAATAATAAACATCATTTATTTATCTTTTGTCACTTCGTCAACACTTATAATTTCGTTAAAGAATGGTGTCCATCTATACGCAGCTTAACGAAATTGAAAAGGGGAAGATTTTGGTGTACATGGACACCACAAATGCCGCTCACATCGCAAAAATACACGGATGCGACTCTACAACGGTACTCCGCTTTCTAAACAAATAAACGAACCAGAAAGTGAAAGCTTACCACGTTTAGGAAGATCACCAGTCTTAAACAATCACGACTTATACGTGAAGCTAGCGAAAAAAGATATGCATCACTACGCGAAATAGTCAACAATTTAGGCCTCACTTGTAGTTTATCAACCGTCGCAAATGTATTGCACAACTCCGGACTTAACTCACGTATCGCAGCAAAGAAACCTTATATCTCGGAAACACATACATATGCTCATATTAAATGGTGTGAAGAAAATAAAAATGAATCAGCTTATGATTGGTCGAGAATAATTTTCTCTGATGAAACCAGTATGGAAATTGGAAAGCAGTCACGGCAGCTAAGAGTTTGGCGGCATCCTGGAGAAAAGTTTAACGTTAATTGTTTGGCGCCTACCTTTAAAAGTGGACGAAAATCTGTAATGGTTTGGGGATATTTCGTGGAAGGATCATTAAATATTTTGTGATGAATATAAAAAAATGGCGAAAAAATAACGGTAAATACTTACCCCGAAATCTTAAAAACTCAATTACTTCCGAACGTAAATTAGGGAATTAACTGGAAGTTACGCAATCTTTCAACATGACAATGCGCCGATACATACTGCGGGAAAAATCAAGGGAAAATAAAATCGTGATTATCAATTAGCCGGCGAATTCCCCAGACCTGAATCAAATAGAGAACATTTGAGAAATATTAAAGGATGAACTTTCCGACGACTGTGGATGAACTTAAGATTACACTGAAGATGGAATGGAAAAAACATGATGTAGTCATTTTAGAATGGGTTACTGGATCAATGTCACGAGGAATTAATGCAGCATTGGAGTCAAATGGAGGGAGGGCCAATTAAATATTAAATAAATTTTATTTTTTATTTGGTGTATAAATTGACGAAAATCAAATAAATTGAAAAATGATCTAAATTTTTATTGCATCGGGCAATACTTTCTGTGGGTACATGTATATTAATTTTGTGACTATGTGAGGTGATATAACTGTATTTGTCAGTAATAATTTATATTTGTAATTTAATTGTTTTTTTCTATATCTGTAATAGTTCTTTTTATATATGATTTTTTAAATTCAATGAAAATTTAAAGGGCTAATACATGTATTAACAAATTCATCGTTTTATGTAAGGATTAGTGTTATTATTAATGAATGACAGAACACCGAATACATGTATAAATATTTCAATAGTTTGTAACCTCTTCAGTAATGATGAAACAACAGGAGTATTACAAATTATTAGAACAGTGTGTCGAGTTCTTTGCATACAAACTATAAAATTTTCCAAGTTAATGGTAAGTGTATATATTTGAACTATCAAAAGACTCAATTAAGCTGGCTTTGATGTAATTGATATCAATGGCGTATTTCAGCGTCAATCTCAACCTCAAATGCAGGTTTTATTCTAGTTCACCTTTAATTTTCTATTATACTTTGTATTAATTAAAATTCTCGTCTTTTAATGGCTCAAGGTTTGGTATTGATATTGATAATATAGAGAAGACGCCGAAAGCTCAAACCAATTAACTGCCCAAATATAACGGTAACTTAATTTTTAAATTATTTATTAAAACTAGGTTTCAAAAAATCATAGATGTTGTCCTATTGAAGGTGCATCAAAAAATAAAAGGGAATTTTATCAAACCAAATCCATATCGATATGAATTTAACAGAACGAGGAGATGATTATTGCAGTGCTGACAAAAACTGCTTGGCGTTAAAGTTATCGTTGTTACACAAAAAATAAAATAAAAACAATGAAGGCGACTTCACACTCTAAAATTGGCAGTTTTATGAAAATGTCAAATATTACGACATTTCGATCATTGTTGGAGATATTCGAATAAACTTTTACAGGGCATTCGTCAATATTGGTGTAGTAATCAGAATACTTTTGCTATTGCTCTTTCTGATGTGTGGGTAAAACGAGAACCTAACAAACAGATCGTCTCTAAAGATTATTAAGCATTATTGCTGATTGACCTGGATAATTTTTCATACAGAAGGCATTAACTTACTTACATTAATAAAAAACAAGATTAATCTTTAATGATGGTATTTAAATTTATTAACTGACAATTAACTTCTATGGTTATACTGTACATTATATAAGATATATGTGCAGTGGTATGATCGATTTGTCAGATCATGGAGTGCCAACACAGCTGATGGATTGGTTCTTGAAGATTTATTGAATATATTCAACAGTATCTTTTAAAAAATCATTCTGAATTCATGGTTGAAATTTTTGCTTTGATAAACCAAACTGCTTTTCAACATAATTCCTTGTCAAAGATTGCATGTAAAAATCCAGTTGCGTTTTATCAATCCAACGATCTCGCAAATACAACCAAACCTTTCTATAACGGCTGCGTTGGATTGCCATTTTTCAGTCGTTGAAGAGTCACATCGCTATATACCATATAGCTTCTTCCGACTTTTTTGCCAAAAATCCGATACAAAAGGTAAAGAGTTGACAAACTTCAAAATTTGCTAATTCCCTAGCAAATACTATATTCGATGAAATCAGAATTGATGTTAAAAATTACCTCGAAAAATTAAAATATTAACGCAAACTCTATATTACATTATGCTCATGCTTTTTAAATGTGACAAATCCACTTTTATAGTGATTTCGTTTCTTATTCTATTGTCTTTTTATCTCTATTATATATGTTTATCTATCATGGTTTCTGACGTTCTGATAGCAACTGGTACAAACTCTTTTTGTCATACCAGAAAACTACATCAAACTCTCTCAACATAAAATCCAGATTTTTTATTAATAAAATTCTGTTCTATATAAATTGTGCATTATATTGAGGATCCGGTATAAACCAGGCTGCTATAGAGAGGCTTGAATAAGAGAGCTAAAATCAATTATGAAATTCTCATGGAAAGTGATACTATAAAAAAAGAAACTAATATTAATTCTTAATCAATTTTACTATCAGTAATGGAAAAAATTATCAATACTTTTAGCTATGCTAAATTGTATCTTCTAAATACATGTAAATAAGAATGTACAGTGGCCTATCATAAATCACCGGACACTTGATGACGATCATCATCAATGCAAATTTGTTGCCAACTTAAA